TTTGTTCAGTTTTAGGTGGAGTTTTATCTCCAAGGTGAAACATATCCTTTCTCTCTCGGTGATATCCATTAATGTTAACTGTGTGTGATCTGATTCTGCTGTGGAGAATGCTTTTCTGCACATCAAGTTTATTGTTGTGAGCTCTAGCATTTACCTGGATATTAAAAAGCAAAGGAGAGAAAATATCAGCATAAATGCACATTTGTACAAATCTTTTCTCAGACAAATAATGACATTTTTATGTACAACATGTATCTTCTTCTGTCCTTCACAAAGTAACTCCTTACTCTACTGACAATGCACGGGTTACTTTAACTGGACCATTTTTACTTGATGTTGGTTGGATGTAAAAAATAAAATAAAATAAAACTATACCGCTCTGGAAACAGATGACAAACATGAGATTTAATTTAAAAGAAACAAAAACAATCTGGTTTATTATTATTGACTTGTGTTGCCACTTCCTATAAGGGTCATAGTTTCTCAGTTGATGGTTTTCTTTTCTAAGACACCTCTCGTGTCTGGCTAAGTTACAAAATAATCAGATACTAACTATATCTAAAAAGAAAAACAAAATGCACATATTTAAGTATGTATCAAAATCTACTGAATGTTTTTAACTTCCAAAGGATAGATGTACTACACATGCACCACCAGTTTGGAGAAAAATACAGTTCTTTTGCTAAAAAAAAAAAAAAACCTCTGCAGATTCTTCAATTCCTTTCATTTCTCACTTCTAAAAATGAGGCTGGGAGAAAGTTCACTTGCCATTTTACACCTGGAAATAAAAATTTTAAAGGTGCACTCAAGTGAGACGAGGGCCACACCAACAGATGAGTTTTTCCAGATGAGTTGAACCAGGTGATGAGCTACAGGTTCATGTCTGTCAATCGAAATACGTCTTCAGATCAGGATGCTAACGAAGCTAATGAGTTAAAAACATCTCATCATCCCTGATGCACTCGTCCAGGTTGTAATACCAGCTGCATTTAAAGGCACACATCACAAAAATGTGATAAAGGTTTCCCCACTCACGCTAAACTCCATCCATAAACACTGAAGCTGAATCTGGACTTGTTTAGCTTCAGCTAAGCTGATCAAGCGCAACTGTACGGAAACCCAGAACGGCCATAACTGCTGTTATTGGTGTTTTCTTCAAAATCCCAAGTGAAATATCTTGTTAATGAGATAAATCACTTTTATTTTGTCATACCAACAAAATAAAATATTTTTAAATATATATGAATAAATCTCATGAGGTCTCTCAAAATAAATGATTGGTGGTTCTGGTGTTTGTTCAGCATCAATGTCACGACGGTTCACTATCATTTGTGGCTCTGGAAGGATTTCAAGTTATCACAAGAAAATTAGCTTTTCTAAGTCGTTCTACTAAGTAATTTATTTCTAAGCATGTCCTTTGTTGGCTTGCGTAAAGTGAAACCAACCCAGCTGATGATTTTGAAATAATTGTTGTTTTTTGCTAAAAAAAAAAAACTTCATTAGGTAAGCCAAAACGATCCCATCTCAGGTTTAAAAATAAATGAGAAAAAAAACCCCCACTGAACCTCAGACTAGTTCCAGTTTGGTGTCACTGAACCTCAACAAATAGGGAACTACAGGAGGAAACTGTGACGTCTGTGAAACAGCAATAACCTAGTTCGCTTAGCTAGGCTAGTTGGGCTTAAGTAACCCAGTTAGTTAAGTTAGCAGTAGCTATGTTACCTAAGCTTACTTTACCCAGTTAGCTAAGTTAGCAGAAGCTACGTTAGCTAAGATGACTGAGAAGAACTATTCATACTTTGCAAACACAATTTAAACCTGATTTTTGCAACCTTAAAATTTGGAGAATTTTATAAACATTTTTTTAAAATTTGGCTAGCGTACATCTGGGTGCAATTACGGTATTTATTCGTGTATAATACGGTCTCGTGTATAATACGGTCTCATGTATAATACAACCCCCCCCCCTTTTTTTAGCTTAAAAAGCATAAAAATTTAATCCTCAAACTACCTCCAATTTCATACAGACTTCAAGATTTTTCAGCCTTTGCAGTCTTTATACATTTCAGTAAAATGATCATTGGACTGTTCATTTTATTTTAACAACATATGTACTAAAAGGTATTTTGACAACAAATTTATTTCAGCTTTAGCAGCATCATATGAATTCTGGCATTTTACACATAGTCCACCAGGAGGCGCCAACACAAAAGTCAGAGACTTCACGTGAGATTTGGGCCATCTTGTGGGGGAAAAGCAGATTACTTCCTACTCGCGAGCGCCCCCTCTGGTGGGGAAACTTTTTTTCAGGGATACAAACCTTTTCAGAACACCGGTAGACGGCAGCCATTACAGACGAACGTGTTTGTTGTTGTTCGAGGAGCGGCTCGGTAATGTCATTAGTTTGTTATCATTACTGAGCTGCAGGACTACTTCCCCCCCCTTTTTTCACATCATGTCACCTGCTTGGATCTGTTATTATCTCGCTCTGAAGCACGGAGGAGTGTCAGATGCGAGCTTGTTTCAACTGCTTTTTACGACACGGTCTCGTTTCCGTACTCAATAATTTTGTGAATGAAGCCGATATTTCAGTTAAAATGCATAAGTAAAACTAATTATCCGAGAATAGTACTAACCCCCAACTTTATGGATGATTTTATGGATTTAATTTTACGTATTATACTAGAATAAATACGGTATGACAAATTATACTGAATAAATTAAACGTGCAAAGTCCAGGAGCAGGACTGAAGGACTGTGTCTGGGTGTTTTCATGTCATGACACCAAGAACACAGGTTAGGGTTTGTTTTCTAGCCAGCTCTATTTTCACTTCTATTTTAGATTTCCACAGAACGTTCCATCACTGCAATCAGGTTAATAAATACAGGAAAAGATCTTTAGAGCCTTCAGCCACCTAAGATCTTTCTGAGCAAAAACTTTAGCCATCTACAGATCTCCCAAATGAAGCTGAAACATTTGAAGTGTTTTGACTGGGACACAAAAAAACGCAGCTGAATCCGTGGAGGTCATTTTTAAAAGCTCCACCTCCTCGCAGGGATTGAAACACACAAATAAACGTACATTTTTATACTAGTTGCTTTAAATAAGGGCACACACATGGACAAACTGAGATCCAAGGCACGAACCTAAAGGAGTGTTAAAATAAGTGAAGCAGCTCAGACATGAGAACAGGCAGCCTCCTCTCCTGATATTTAACTGAGAATCCTCTGAAACTCTAACCCAGATGGTAAACATGTTCGTCAGGCTGAGGTGACAGCACATTTCTGTTTGTTTAAAGTGGAAGTTTTCAATGGATTAAACTGACTCTGAACAGGAGAAAGCTGCCCTGTTGATTTCACTTGTTTCTGCTAGTTCTAACTGTGAGCCAGCCACAGTGTTAATCCCACCAAGTGCAGCAGCTGACAGACTGTCTGATCTGAAGACGTTTGGGAAACTCAGAGGGAAAATGGAAACGCAGGATTTGTTTCTGACTTCCCAGATTAAAATCAAAACGTTGAAAACAAGAGGAAAGGTCAAGAACCAACTCAAAATGCTGAGATTAATCCCATAATGTTGAGATTAAATAAGACTGATGTTGAGATTAAAGTTGAGAAAAGCTAAAAGTCAACATGTCAGGAACAAAATATCGTGATTAAAGTTGGAATGTTCAAACAATTTGGAAAGATAAAACTCAACTATTAGGTCCAAAACATGAGATTAAACTCAGAATGTACAGAATTAAGATGAAATATCAAGAATAAAATTTATTAGAGGATCGAAAAAATGTCAAGATTAGAGTCAAATGTTGAGATTAAATTTAATGTCCTGATGCATCTCAGTAATCCAGGTAGAAAAAAAATCAAAAAGAAAAAATCAGTAGGTCCTCTGGATGGTTCTTCTTTACTGAAACGTTTCTTCTCTCCTCCAAGAGACTTCTTCAGTCTGATGAGTTTCAGGTGAACTCAGCCTTATAAGCACTGCCTCCACATGGTGGACAAACAGGTTAGTCACATGCAAAAGAGGGCCATCGCCTAACAATAGGCTTTTTGGAGGACCTACTTATTTTTTCTTTTTGATTAAATGTAATAATCGTACCGCTGAGATTCAATTTGAAATACTGAGAATGAAATGGAAATGTCCTGAAACAGTCGAGAAATTGTTCCTCAACAACTGGTAATGTCCAGATTAAACTCGCAAAGTCCAGATTAAACTTGTAATGTCCAGATTAAACTCGTAATGTCCAGATTAAACTCGCAAAATCCAGATTAAACTAGTAAAATCCAGATTAAACTCAATGTCTAGATTAAACTCATTATGTTTAGATTAAAATTGTAAAGTCCAGATTAAACTCGTAAAGTCAAGATTAAATTTAATATGTTCAGATTAAACTTAAAGTTCTGATTAAGCTCATTATGTTCAGATTAAACTCGTAATGTCCAGATTAAACTCATTATGTTAAAATTAAACTCAAAGTCCAGATTAAATTTGTAAAATCCAGATTAAACTGGTAAAGTCCAGATTAAATTTATTGTGTTCAGATTAAACTCAAAGTCCAGATTAAACTTGTCGAGCAGAAAGGTCAAACAAAATGAGTTTTTTTAAGGTCAAAGTTCAAACAAAACTCAACGACTGAAGTTAAATAAAAAGAATAAATTTTAAATGAAAACAGAAATTAAAAAAATCTCAAGATTAAAATTCGCCCTGAGGGGCGTGGCTTCACTTTCACTGGTCTGACTACAAAACAGCACAGTGTTTGCATGGACCGGTCCAGGTGGTCTTCATGATTAATCTGATTTATTGGCACAGTTCTGCTCAGATTATTTAACCAACCTCTGAAGAGGCCAAACCAAACGTAATCCTTGTTTGTTTGTTAAAGTTTTCAACTCAAAGGAAGGTGTTTCTTCTTCAAACACTGATTTAACTTTAATCCAGTTTGACGTTTAGGCTTCAAACCTTTCTCCTCCTCCTGAGTGATTTTAATAATCTGTCTGTTTGGGACTTTCCTTCTGAACAGATTTAGGTTTATTGAATGAAACAGAACACAGAGATTAGCTTGTGTTAGCGCTGCCATCTTGAACAGGAGTTTAAAATCAAAGTGGCGTCTGCAGAACTTTTCCCACATAAAGAAGTTGTTTGTTTTTGACCCCTGCAGACTGTGAGAAGAATGGTTTTATAAAAATGTTGCTGTGTGTGTGTGTGTGTGTGTGTGTGTGTGTGTGTGTGTGAGAACACTAGTGAAAAGATGACTGATAAAACACACACTGGTCGCTCCTGCTTTCACCTGAAAGCTCCCAGCGTTCCTCTGGTCAACATGTCTGATGGGTAGTAGCAGAATGGTTGGTTTAATGCACTGGAATGGGACAATCCTTCTGGTAATGATTCTGTCACAAATGAGGCTTAGTCTGTTTTTTCTTTTTGTGTGTGTGTGTGTGTCAGTGTGTGTTAAAAAAAAACAACTTGTTGACTCCAGAGAACAACAGGAGACACCAGAGGGAGTGAGAAGATCCCAGAGCAGCCGAGGTTCAGGACTGGACTTCCATGCAGGTGGACAGGTGAGTAGAGAGGAAAGGAAAAAGAAAAGCAGAGGTTGTGTTGCGTCTGGTGATGAGTTGTGTGTTTCTGAGTGTGTGCGGTGAGAAGGTCCTCCATCATGGATTCATCTACGACACTCCGTTCACCAGAGTAGGAGCGTCCTGTTTGTCCTTCTTCATCCCTCGCTCTCTAATGGGTCTCTGGTGGTGATGACGGGACTGGCCCTCCGCTCCGACGCCGAGGCCGCTCTGAGACGAGGACGGCCCCCCTCCTCCTGCTCCTCCTCCTCCTGCTCCTCCTCCTCCTCGCCCACCTGACGAGTGCTGCACGCTGCGCTCGTTGTTTCCATCGATGCGAATCTGTGGAGGGACAGGAAACTCAGACAGTTATCTTTGGACCTAGTATCGACTCTTTTCATGAGTGTTGCACCTTTGTTTTGTCTGAATGAACAAATGTATAATCTAACCCAGCATATAATCTACAGCTTTAGGAAATAACTCTTTGAATTGACCGTGTTTCTCTGCCAGCTGCAGTGGTGCCGGGTAATATCAAAATATGATGATGCTACAACCCCTGGCAAAAAGTATGGAATCACCAGTCTTGGATGAGCTCTCATTCAGACATTTCATTGTGTAAAACAAACTCAGATCAAAAACATGATACAATAATAAGGTCATTCCAAAGTGCAACTTGTTGGCTTTCAGGAACACTCAAAGAAATGAAGAGAAAACATTGTGGAAGTCAGTGAATGTTACTTTTATTGACCAAGAACAGGGAAAAAAGTATGGAATCATGAAAAACCGATAAACAAAAGACCATTCAAAATACATCACTAGTATTTAGTTGCACCACTTTTGGCTTTTATAATGGCTTGCAGTCTCTGAGGCATGGACTTGATGAGAGACGAACAGTATTCTTCATCAGTTTGGTGCCAACTCTCTTTGGCTGCGTTCACACTGCAGGTCTTAATGCTCAGTTCTGATTTTTTGAAAAAATCCGATCTTTTTGTGTGAACGTTCACATTACATTTTAAATGTGACCTGCATCAGACCCCTGTGTGAACGCTACACAGCACTGATGTGACACGCATGCGCAGTAAAAGACGTGACGTCTCATCAGCCGGCTTGTTTGTTTACATGGATGCTACATTTTGCACATCGTATCGGAAGTTGTTGTTTAATCAGAGCCGATTAAATAATTATCTGACCTGCTTCTTTAGTTCAGTGTTTATATCTGAACCTGCCTCTGACCGGGATGCTCCAGTGAAGCTTTTTTTTTTAAACGAAACTACGAGCTGGAAAAAAAGTATCGACCGAGTAGCTAACTTTAGGATCGATACTCTCCACGACCCAGGCTGGACATGTTATTATCATACTATCTACGTGGAAAATGAAAAGTAAAAAGATGAAGCAACTGGACTTGTGTTTTGGAGCTGTAAACACATGGAGCTACAGATTTAAATAGCGAGACTTGAGGTTAGTGTCTTATCGATCCTTCACCCCCTCCTCCTGATGAAAAAGTCAGATGAATGAGACATGAGCGTTCACACTGCAGTCACTTTGAAAACATCAGATATATATCCGATTTAAAACCACATACTGAAACGGCCTGGGTCGGATTTGAAACAATCGGACTTGTCTCGTTGAGACTGTCATTAAAAAATCGGATAGGAGTCAGATGGGTCAAAAAAATCGGATTTGGGTCGGATTTGCCTGCAGTGTGAACGTAGCCTTTGATAAAAGTTGCAAGATCAGCTTTGCAGGTTTGAGTCTTCTTGTGGACCTTTTTTTTTTTTTCAATTTCCCCCACAGGTTTTCAATTGGGTTGAGATCTGGACTATTTGCAGGCCATGACATCGACTGAATGTGTCTTTCTCCAAGGAATGCTGTTTTTGCTCTATGGCACGATGCATTGTCATCTTGGAAAATTATTTCATCACCTCCAAACATTTGTTCAATTGAGGGGATGAGAAAACTGTCCAAAATGTCAATGTAAACTTGTGCATTGATAGAAGAATTAACCACAGTCATCTCCCCGGTGCCTTTGCCTGACATGCAGCCCCATATCATCAAGGACTGTGGAAATTCGGTTGTTTTCTTCAGGCAGTCCTCTTCATAAATCTCACTGGAACGGCACCAAACAAAACATTCCAGCATCATCACCTTGTCCAATGCAGGTTCTTGACTCATTACTGAAGATAACTTTCATCCAGTCATCCACAGTCCATGATTACCTCTCCTTAGCCCATTGCACTCTTGTTCTTTTTTGTTTAGGTGTCAATGATGGTTTTCTTTTAGCTTTCCTGTACTTTCCTGTATTGAAACCCCATTTCCTTTAGGCCATTTCTTACGGTTCGGTCACAAACATTGGCTGTGTCCAAAACGACAGGCCGGGTCCTCCGGAGGACCCAGACTACCCTGTCGCGGCGGGCCAGATCCTTGGTAGACTGGGAAGACCGGACAAAAAGAGGCTGTGAATTTGGACGGTCTAGCCTCCCCTCCTTACCCCAGCGTACGTCATGTCACCTAGCAACTGTGACGACGCTAAACAAGCAAACTTAAATCAAAATTAGAAAAATATCAATTCATTCTTAGCATTATTAATATCACAAAACTATAAAATTAACTTAAAGGTAACATTTGAAGAACTAATTGACCCGCTGTAGGTTCATGTTTATTTCGCGTTTTTTATGACGAAAAAATAATATTTAAAAACATGTCCATACAAATGATAAAAGTATTAGAATTACAACCGCTAAATTTTTTAAAAATTTTTATATCACCATATTTTTATTTAAAATGTATTCTTTTCTCTAGCTTCGTCCGCCATTACTAGCATAAAAAAATCTCCGGTCGGGCCGCAATGCATTATGGGAWATGCTGGGCCGGGAAGGATCCATCAGACCTGTCCTTCGATTCGGGCCAAAGGAAGGACGTATTTGTCGGCCACATCGGAGGAGTCTTCAGTTTTGGACGTCCTTCGTCGCGGCGCTGTGACGTATGCGGCCGACAAATTCGACCTTCGGAGGACCCGGCCTGTCGTTTTGGACACAGCCATTGGCTCCAGCTTCCTTCCATTTATGCTTCATCTGTTTAGTTGCACTTTTTCAGTTTTCAAGACAAATGGCCTTAAGTTTGTCTTGATGCTTTGATGTCTTTCTTGGTCTACCAGTACGCTTGGCTTTAACAACCATTCCATACTGTTTGTATTTGGTCCATATCTTGGATACAGCTGACTGTGAACAGCCCACATCTTTAGCAATGTGTGAAGAGTTACCTTCTTCAAGAAGTTTCACAATCCTCTCTTTTGTTTCAAGAGACATTTCTCTTGTTGGAGCCATGGTTCTTGCCACTCCACTTCATCCAGCAGCCCTCCAAGGTGTCATGACTGCAGGTGTTTTTAACTGCAGACTAACAAGCAGATCTAATCTGAGGCAGGTGTCCATTTAGGGAAAGGAAATTGACTGGGTGTGTTCTTATTTTCTACCTCCAATTTGAGTGATTCCATACATTTTTCTTCAGAATTGAGTGATTCCATATTTTTTCCCTGTTCTTGGTCAATAAAAGTAACATTCACTGACTTCCACAATGTTTTCTCTTCATTTCTTTGAGTGTTCCTGAAAGCCAACAAGTTGCACTTTGACCTTATTATTGTATCATGTTTTTGATCTGAGTTTGTTTTACACAATGAAATGTCTGAATCAGTGCTCATCCAAGACTGGTGATTCCATACTTTTTGCCAGGGGTTGTAGAAAAAAATGATGACATATGAGTCCCGTGAGGTGACTCATATGTCAGAAGACAAACAAAAGGGAGGAGTGAGCAGAGACATGTTCAGACACCTGGTGTTCTCTAACAGTGTTACATGAAGCTGACCCATTCACATCAACAGGACCAAAGGGATTTGCAAGGAAGAGGGTGATTTAACTGGACTTTCTGTACTGAGCTATTGATCATTGATCATATTTTAAACATCTGGATGGTAGAATATGGGTACTCTGGTCTTTAACTTTAATTTGAACCCTCAGTGACATCTTTGTGTTGAAGTTACAGTCAGAGGAAAGTACTCTACAATTTACTGGACACAATGCACATAAAATACCTTTTACCAGATTTAAAGTAGTAACTGTTCAGACTTGTTGCTGTAGATTTTATATCACTGAAGTGAATTAAATTAAACTGAAGTGAACTGAATCAAACTGTATTGTACTGAATTGAGTTGAACAGCTTTGAATTGAATTGAGTTGAATTGACTGAAATGAACTTCATTGAATTGAATTGTGATTGAAATTTAATTAAATTGAACTGAACTGAATTGAACTGATCTGAATGAACTGAACAGAACTGAATTGAACTGAACTGAATTGAACTGAACTGAATGAACTGATCAGAAATGAATTGAACTGATCTGAACTGAAGTGAATTGAACTGAATTGAACTGAACTGATTTGAAATGAACTGAACTGAACTGAACTGAACTGAAGTGAAGTGAATTGAACTGAATCGAACTGAATTGAATTGAACTGATCTGAACTGATCTGAACTGAATTGAACTGAACTGAAATGAATTGAAATTAACTGAACTGAAGTGAATTGAACTGAATTGAACTGAACTGAATTTAATTGAACTGAATTGAACTGAACTGAATTTAATTGAACTGAATTGAACTGAACTGAATTTAATTGAACTGAATTGAACTGAACTGAATTGAACTGAACTTAAATGAATTGAACTTAAATGAATTGAACTGAATTGTACTGAAGTGAACTAACTGAATTTANAACTGAATTGAACTGAACTGAATTGAACTGAACTTAAATGAATTGAACTTAAATGAATTGAACTGAATTGTACTGAAGTGAACTAACTGAATTTAACTGAACTTAACTGAATTTAATTGAACTGAATTGAACTGAACTTAACTGAATTGAACTGAATTTAACTGAACTGAATTTAATTGAACTGAACTGAATTGAACTGAACTGAATTTTACTGAATTGAACTGAACTGAACTTAACTGAATTGAACTGAATTGAACAGAATTGAACTGAACTGAATTTAATTTAACTGAATTGAACTGAACTGAATTGAACTGAACTTAAATGAATTGAACTGAATTGAACTGAACTGAATTTAATTGAACTGAACTTAACTTAAATGAATTGAACTGAATTGTACTGAATTGAACTAACTGAATTTAACTGAACTGAACTGAATTTAATTGAATTGTACTGAATTGAACTGAACTGAATTTAATTAACTGAATTGAACTGAACTGAATTTAATTGAACTGAATTGAACTGAACTGAACTTAACTGAATTGAACTGAACTGAATTTAACTGAATTGAATTTAATTGAACTGAATCGAACTGAACTGAATTGCATTGAATTGACCTGAACTGAACTGAAAAGAATTGAATTGAAATGAACAGAGTTGAACTGATCTGAACTGGAGTGAATTGAGTCATTTTGTGTGCACCAGTTCTTCTGAGGATGAAGTGCAGATGACAGGACTTGAACCAACCCTACCTGTAAGGTGTCCTCTTGGGCTCTGGTTTTGGGGTCTCGAACATGGCGAGGTCTTGGGTCGCTCCACTGCATGTCTTCACCTACAGCTAGGAATGTGCGATATGGCAAAAAATTCATATCACAATATACATTATGATGAGTGGCGGTAACGATATACTGTATATCACAATATAAAACTTTTAATAGAAAATAAATATATCACACATTAAATGGGTGGAATAAATATGTATAGGTAAAATAATTTAGACCTTAAAATCTCCTTTAAGGGACACTTTTAAGTCTCCCATAAAAATCTTAATTTAAGGGACATCTACCTGGTTAAATATTATATATATATATATATATATATATGATCACACACACAATAACTTTAATGCAACAGATATCTGCATCCATTGGATGTTGTGTTTGGAATCACCTGCTTCGTTTTAAGGTGGTAAAACAAATTACTTATATTTATTCCTTTCTACACACTTTGCAGATTCTTTTTTCTGCACTCCACCTGTTTAATCTGTGTGCGCTCCGGCAGGGTGACAATCATTATAGTCGTGGTTTGGAGCGCGCGCATTCGGCCGTGCGTCGTCGCGCTATGACCGCAGGAGAAACGAGGTCCAGACTGATTTTTGTGCGTCCCACCTGAGCACTGACTTCACCTGCACTGACAGTCGCCTCGCTGCGTGGAAATGGAGAGCGAGCGACGTCACCTCCCGTGTGTCGAGCCCTTCACACATGCTGCGGTGCACGCTCCTCCCGCAGCAGGCAGTGTGGTCGGTCGGCATCCGACCGGAGGACGCGCCATCACGTACATATGTAAACAGTTCTGCGTTCATTTTCACACACCCGAACCAGGTGCGGATAAGTTTTTTCCCCCTCTTCATTTGCGCTCTCAGCCACGCTTCCTCTGTTCTGACTCCAACTGGTTAAGTCATCAAAAATAATTGCGCAGTTGGCCGGTAGACTACAGATCTCTATCATAGGACAAATTTATATCCTTTCTACTGAAGAAATTTATAGTTATTACAGGTTAGTACTGATGTTAGAAGCACAACACTAGATTCTTCGGTTTTCCTTTTTATAATGTTTGATCTATTATGTGTTGATTGATATAGAGTAGTTACATGTCCGAATTATGAACAACACATAATTGAAACTGTATTATAACATTAGATTGAGACTTTTGTATGAATGCCTGTGATTCAGCTGTAGGTCAGTAGGGGGCGAACTCAGGCATTGAAGAATCATGTATAAATTGATGTACTTCCTGGCTTTTGGTCAGTGTGGTTTCCCGTCAGCTATGTGGCAATAAACCTCACTCGATTCCAGAATTCTGGTGTTGTATGGTTTAAATTCCTTCTAAAAATCATTTTATTTAACAGTGATGGTTTTCATATTGACTTGACTTCAGTCTATTGAACACGTAATTTTCTTACAGTTTTTGGTGACACCCGACGTTCAGCTGACGGTCGACTAGGCAGCGGGGCTGGGCGGCGGCTTCTGCTAACTAGGCCTGTCGAGGGAAACGCCGTATCGACATACATTATAGGCGTCATTAAACAGGTGAGCAAAATCTTTTTTGCTTTCCCTCTTGTTCACATAACGGGACTGCGCGGCGGTCGGTGTGTCTGCGTGATGACCTGTGTGTCGGGGCGTTGAAACAGCCCGCTAAGTGTTAACTTCGGTGTTAGCTTTGCTGCACTAAGCCTGGGGACCAGCGAAGCAATGATAGGTTGTCATTAGGTGTAGACAAAACAAACGTGGTTAATGTGAACGGTAAAAGACGGTTTTTAAGTGTTTAATCATATCAGTCTGTGGGGGTTTAAAGCCATACAATAAATTGGGCCCTTTTTAGGTAGTGAAAATATCTTTTAGGCCGTTTTAAGTGCTTTTCCGAAATCCTATGGTGAGCCTTCTGTAAAAGGCTGCACTGAACAGGTGGGGTACGACTATACAAGTTCATGGTGGCGAATGGGCGGTTATATTAGGCCTGTTTAAAGGAAAAATCCATGAATTGTTAAGTCAGATTGCCTGGTGGGTTTTTACGCATGGTATTGAATAAAATAAAAGAAAAAATCCTTGTTTAAAGGTGGCTTTTGTCATGCGTGTCATTGGGAAAAAATCCAGGAGTCAAACACTTTTTTCTCTCTTCTCTCTATATTTGTGTTTATGAGAATGTGTGGGTTGGTTGTCCGCTCAGCAGGTGTTCATTCACACTGATGTGTCATGTATTAATTCAGAGTAATAGTACTCTGTTTTAAGAAGTCTGACACAGAAGTGACCACTAGTGGCTGTCTGTGGGACATCTGTGGGTGGGCACAGATAGTTTTGGGTTTTGTTTTTTTCTGTTTTAGTTTAGGGTAACCAAGCTGTCTGTACGACGTATATCGTTTATATCGCGCATTCCTGCCTACAGCACAACAAACAAACAGATAAACAAACAAACAATAAAAGTCTGATGGTCTGATCACATGGAGGAGTAAATATCTGTCAAGAGACACAGGGACAGAGCCTTCTTACTTTTATATCCTCCTCTTCCTCTCCCGCCTCGTCCCCTCAGACCACTGCTGCCTCCTCTCTTCCTGCCGTCCGTCCTTCTTGGCAGAGTCCCGCCTCCCGTCATCAGGTCCTCAGTGGGAGCAAGCGACCAATCGCTGAGCTCCTCCCTGTGGTCTGACTCAGTCTCTGAAGCGTTGGACGCCTCTGAGTTGGTGCCTGCAGGACAGACAGAGCTGTTCAGACGTCTTCATGAAGACACGGTGAAAACTCTACAAACTGTTTCAGAACTAATCAGGAGGAAACCAGGGATGGTCTGACCAGATGTGAAAGATGCTCCTCCCCCTCGCCGTCCCCGTCCACCTCTTCCTCCTGCGTAGGTTTTCCCTCCTCCTCCTCCTCCAGCTCCTCGGCCCATCCCCATCCCCATGCCGTTATCAAACACGTAGGCTTTGTCTTTCAGGTTTCGGGGTCCCGCCCCTCCTCCTCCTCCTCCGCCTCCTCCTCCGATCTGTCTGAGCTGCTCATCGATCTGAAGGCGCTCCAGACGCAGCTGATCCACTTCCTGTGGACACGAGAACAGAGATGGTGCTTTCCAAGCAAAAAAACAAAAACAAAAAGATATTTCCTGTTGTCAGGGGGCGGGGCTTTGATGATGTCATCATGGTATGGTCAGGCATGCAGCATGGATGACTCATACAAAGTTTGGTGTATTTTAGCCTTTCTAGTTACAGTACAGTTACAGCTTTCTGAAACTGTAACGACAAACAGAGAGCATTCGTAATAACTACAGAATTTATAATTCCTATTAAAATGCAGTGAGTTTTCCTTAAAGCTGCTGAAGAAGATGAAAATGTGAGTTAAAGTTGAACAGCTGACTGAAGGACATTTTCTGGCAAATGAACAGAATTTTAAATACAGTTTTATATTTGACACTTTGTATCTTTATAGCCATTTGCTTTAAATAAGGAGAGAATCAGTGAGTTTCTACTGTCCCTCTGCAGGATAAATAACTGTTTGTTGACATTCCAGGGGTTGACTTTGCAGAGCTGTGCACCAGCGCTGGTTTAACTTTGGAACCACATTAGAAAAGACCATCGACCACAAGAGATCATGAGAAAGTCATGGTCCTGTCCAACTTCTGTTTGATCAGAACAGACCTCCAGCAGGAGACCTGGAACTTGTCTGGATTAGGTTGAGCAGTATTAGGTCAAAAATTAATCAGGATTAGTTGTGACATTTATCTAATAATGATTGTTGTGACAATTAATAGATGACAATTGAACTTGCATGTTTTGACTCTAAATCAGTCAGTTGTTCTAAAATTACAAATCAAATGTCAAACTAACTTCATCTGAACAGCCCAGCTCATGTTATCTCCTTCCAGCTCTTATTTTGCTCTTAAAGAACAGATTGACTGAAGCTGCGTTCCCATTGCAAATGTGTGCAAAACTTTCGTTGATATTCTGTTAATGTCGAAAAAACTGTCTCCAAATTGCGGTGTTTCCATTAAGTAAGAAATACTATTAAAGTCACGTGAATATGTTTGTTCTCATGATAAGTCATTACAAACATGGCAGCGATGGATGTAAACACATAGCATGTTGCTACCATGACACTAGTGCTCATCATCAGAGGAGACGTCGGCGTCTTTTATCGAGGCTTTCCAGAGACAAGTCCCTACTTGGGAGCGGCTACGTATGCTGTGTTTTTGGTAAATTATAGTCGGTGAGTTTACTACTTTCTTTTACTACTTCTGTGATTTCTACTTCCTGTTATCTTCTTCTTCTTCGTCTTTTTCGCCAGTAGAAACAGCCAGTTGTTGTTCACGTGACTCCCATGATGTGAAAAAAGTGTTTCCATTGCAGTTTTGCGAAAAATACCAATTTAGATACGGCCGAAAAACCACCTCATCCTAGCACAAAAACATTTTGTCGAAACACGTAATTTTTTTCAAAATTGACGTGTTTCCATTGAGCAAATTTGTTTTCGAAAATCTAATTTGCGCATTTTCATGGTCAATGGAAACGCAGCTTGAGAGCCTCGTGGATTCTCACTACCGTATTTTTCGGACTATAAGCTGCAACTTTTTTCCTGAACTTTGAACCATGCGGCTTATAGTCCGGTGCGGCTTATATGTGGATTTTTTTCTTCAGCCGCCAGGGGGCTCTTTAGCCGGAGGAGTGGTTGCCGCGAATAAAAGGAAGAAGAAGAAAGCACCATTTTGTTTTAGCTAGTAGCAGACACGACACGACGGATTGATCTTTGACAGACTCGATGACCTATTTCTCTTCAAATTCAAACGTGCTCATCATAGAAAAGAATAGATCTTCCTATGATTCCGCTTTTAAGTTGAAGGCTATCGAAATTGCGCAACAGGAGGGAAATAGAGCCACTGCACGTAAGCTCGGCCCGGGTTCCGAAAGGCTGGACTGCTACGTGAAGACGGTACCACAGCTTCAGAGCCAGCATTATCCCGGGATGACAGCGACACAGAAAGCAACGCTGTACAGACCGCTATGTGATGAAGCTTTTCTGAGCTTGTTCAACTCCCAACACTGAAGAAGAGGACTTCGATGGTTTCAGTGCGCCGGAAGAAGACGAATGAGACGTTTTGTTGTTTTGTTGGATCAGAAACTGTGAAAGAAAACTACCAAAATAAGGTCAGTTAAATGAACCGTATTCCTGCGAACTTTACTTCCTAAAGGTTTGCTTTTTATGTTTTGATGTTGAATTCACTTTGACTACAAATTTGGGTGTACTGGTGTTTTTTATGTTGGGGGTGCGACTTATAGTCCGGTGTGGCTTATAGTCCGAAAAATACGGTAATCTGGATGGTGTCATTAAATGCACCTGGGCTCTGGTAGGTGGCAGATGTAGGTGCAACACAAACCTTCAGGTAGTTCAGGTGGTAGTCCAGCAGCACTGTAGCGTTGGAGATGCTTTCCTTTGTCCCCACAAACACAAACGGCACCATTCCCTGTAGTTGGAGGTACAGAACATGAAACATGGAGAACTTGTTTTGTGTCTTTTGCAACAGAAACACTAACTTCATCTGCACGGACCTCGTCCACAGCTGCTGCCGCCGCTGCAGAGGGCTTCTTGTCGTTCTCCGGCTCGATTCGAACCCTCACCACACCTGACTTATCCACGACTTCCTGGATCAGTTTGCCGTTTTTGCCGATCACCTTGCCTACAGAATGTAGCCTTGGTCAAAATCTGTTCACCGTTGAAATTTGATTAACGCTGGAAAAACAAAACGAGCACGCTGTTCCTCACCTACTAAGTTCCGGGGAACTTTAATGATGTCTTCTGAGAACTCAAGGAAACTCCTGGCTAGGCGGACAGCATCCTGGTCCTGGCAGGAAGAAGAAAAGAAAACCCTCCTTCATTAAGTCACATTGTGCTGAGGCTAACGAGTGTCTGCAGGTCAGGAGGGTCCTACCTCCCCGTAGATGTGGAAGGTGCAGGTCTCTTCATCCAGGTCAATGTTTGTGACTCCAGGAACTTTACGGGCTTGCTGGATGTTGGCGCCATGAGTTCCGATGGCCAGACCCATCAGATCATCTCGAACTACAAACTGTTCATGAAACCGGGAGGCTAGCTGTCTGGAACTCTGGGAAACACAGCAATTTACATCTTTTTTTAGCTGTCGTTAAACATAAATCTAAGAGACTTATTTCATGTGTCTGTGTGGCCTGGTTTTCCCTACATCGTGGGAACAATTTTCCCACAAAAAAGCAGCCTCATGGGGACTGAACATGCATCGTGGGGACCAATGCCCAGTCCCCATGGGTCCAAATGCAAATTACGAGTGTGGGATTAGGTTCAGGACCATGGTTTAGGTTAGTTTTAGGCCCAGTCCCAATGCTCAGTGCCACCCTACACCCCTCTGTGAAGTGTAGGTTCAGTCGAAGTGCACATAGTGTTCGAGTGCGCAGGTTACAAGTGTGCAAAACAATTGCGAATTAGGACAGTACAGATTACATCATCGACTTGCGCCTCTGCGTCGTAACTGCGTCATCCAACATGGCATTTTTTCTAATTGAACCAATATAGACAAAAAATAAACATACATATGTTAATGACCATTTCACATTTACATATCTTTTAATTATCTATTCTATATAATTCCTCCTCATAGTCAAATTATGAAAAGTTTAAGAGATCACCATGAATCTTAAGTAAACCAACTGACTTAGAAATCTTTAGTAAAAGTAAATCAAACAATAAAACTAACAAAAACAACATCAACAATAAATATTTAAACTAAAGGAA